ACTCCAACTCCGATTCCTGCTTACCAATGGCAGAACTACGACTACGACTACTACTAGTACTACTGCCACTACAACTACGAATACGACTACAACTACGACTACGAGTACGCCAACGGCTACGACTACTACTCCCACCGCTCCAACTACCACTAGTATTACTACTACTACTACTACTACTAGCACTGCTACTACTACTACTACTACTACTACTACTACTACTACTACTACCACTACTACCACTACTACTACTACTACTACTACTACTACTACTACTGCTACTAATACTACTACTACTACTACTACTACTACTACGACTACTACTACTACTACTACTACTACTACTACTGCTACTACTACTACTACCACTACCTACTACATTTCTCCTGTTACTACTACTACTACCACTACTACCACTACTACTCCTACTACTACTACTGCTACTAATACTACTACTACTACTACTACTACTACTACTACTACTACCACTATTACGCCTACGGCTACTACTGCTACTTCTACTACCACGACTACGCCCGCGACGACGACTACTACTACTACTACTACTACTACTACCACTACTACTACTACTACTACTACTACTACTACACTACGACTACTACTAACACGACTACCACTACTACTACGACTACTACTATTACGACTACTACTACTACTACTACTACTACTACTACTACTACTATTATTACGACTACTACTACTACTACTACTACTACCACGACTACTACGACTACGACTATTACTATTTCTACGACTGTCACTCTGACTACTGCTACTACAACTACTACTACGACTACCACTACTACTACTACTACTACTACTACTACTACTACTACGACTACTACTACTACTACTACTCCTACTACTACTTCTACTACAACGACTACCACGACTACCACGACTACTACCACCACCACCACCACCACTACTACTACTACTAATAATAATAATACTATCATTACTACGATGACTACTACAACTGTAACTACTACCACTACTGTTACTGCAACTACTTCTACTACTACTACTACTACCACTACTACCACGGCAACTGGTAGTACGACTGCGATTACTACTGCAACAACTGCGACTACTACTATTTCTACTACTACTACCATGACCACAACCACTACTACCACACTATTGCGACGAGTACCACGACTACTACTACTACTACTACTACTACTACTACTACTACTACTACTACTACTACGACTGCGACTACTACGACGACGACGACTACTATTGCAACTACTACTACTACTACGACTACTACTACGACTACTACTACTACTACTACTACTGTTACTACTATCACTACTACTACCATCACTACTACTACTACTACTACTACTACTACTACTACTACTACTACTACTACTACTACTATGACGACCACGACTACTACTACTCCTACTACTACTATTACTACCACTCCTACTACTACTACTACTACTACTGCCACTGCTACTGCCACTGTCACTACGCACCGGGCACGTGTGCGGTCCGGCCTTTTGCGCAAATTGAGAGATGAAGAAAGAAATTAACAGATTGCAAGGATGCTTCACGGGCTACATGTATGTCAGAACGATCAGAATCATGTGCAAAAAATAAACCAGAACGAGAGCGCACACGCCGAGGACCCTCGAAGTGGAACAGCGACCACGGACCTCTGGCATGCAAGGGGAAGTGCAACAGAGCCTCGCCGAGATGTCTGGGGAGGACCATCGTGCCTCCAAAACCCCAGTTTCGGAGCACCCAGGGGGGACAATTTTCAGAATCTGCCCGTATGGACGTCAGTTTGCAGAGACCGATGACGATGAAGATGTTTATGTTGTTGATGATGACGTTGATGCTGATGACGATGATGATGATGATGATTATGACTATCCGCCTGCACGTGTCCTTGCGTGTACAGCGATGACGACCATGATGGGGATGATGGTGATTATGATGATGATGATGCCGAATTTCTTTTCCAGCCGCCGCGCAGTCCACACGACCGTGTCCTCCCAAGCGCTGCGTGCAACTGCTGCCACTACTACTACTACTACTACTACTACTACTACTACTACTTCTACTACTACTACTACTATTACTACCACTACCACTACCACTACCACTACCACTACCACTACCACGACCACTACCACTATTACTACTACTACTACTACTACTACTACTACTACTACTACTACTACTACTACTACTACTACTACTACTACTACTACTACTACTACTACTACTACTACTACTACTACTACTACTACTACTACTACTACTACTACTACTACTACTACTACTACTACTACTACTACTACTACTACTACTACCACTACTACTACTACTACTACTACTACTACTACTACTACTACTACTACTACTACACTACTACTACTACTACCTACTACTACTACTACTACTACTACTACTACTACTACTACTACTACTACTACTACTACTACTACTACTACTACTACTACTACTACTACTAGTACTACTACTACTACTACTACTACTACTACTATTACTACTACTACTACTACTACTACTATTACTACTACTACTACTACTACTACTACTACTACTACTACTACTACTACTACTACTACTACTACTACTACTACTACTACTACTACTACTACTACTACTACTACTACTACTACTACTACTACTACCACGTATGCGATCCACAACGGTAGCGGCTTAGTGAAGGAGGCGCCGATGATACCTGGAACATGTTTGAGGAACGAAGTCGGCGGCGCAGAAGTCTGCAGTTCCATTGATGATTTTCCATGCTCCGCAGAGTGGACCGCACACGTGCCCGGAGCGTGTCACTACTACTAACTACTACTAATACTACTACTACTACTACTACTACTACTACTACTACTACTACTACTACTACTACTACTACTACTACTACTACTACTATTACTACTACTACTACTACTAACTACTACGACTACTACTACTACTACTACTACTACTACTCCTACCACTATTACGCCTACGGCTACTACTGCTACTACTACTACCACGACTACGCCCGCGACGACGACTACTACTACTACTACTACTACACTACGACTACTACTGACACGACTACCACTACTACTACGACTACTACGACTACTACTACTACTACTACTACAACTACGACTACTACTACGACTACTACGACTACTACTATTACTATTTCTACGACTGTCACTCTGACTACTGCTACTACAACTACTACTACTACTACCACTACTACTACTACTACTACTACTACTCCTACTACTACTACTACTACTCCTACTACTACGACTACCACGACTACCACGACTACTACCACCACCACCACCACTACTACTAAAAATAATACTGCCATTACTACAATGACTACTACAACTGTGACTACTACCACTACTATTACTGCAACTACTTCTACTACTACGACTACTACTACTACTACTACTACTCCTACTACTACTACCACGGCAACTGGTAGTACGACTGCGATTACTACTGCAACAACTACGACTACTACTAGGTCTACTACTACTACCGTGACCACAACCACTACTACCACACGATTGCGACGAGTACCACGACTACGACCGCATTTACTACTACTACTACTACTACTACTACGACTACTACTACTACTACTACTACTACGACTACGACTACTACGACGACGACTACTACTACTACTACTACTACTACAACTACTATTACTAACTACTACTACTACTACTACTACTACTACTACGACTACTACTACTACTACTACCATCACTACTACTACCATCACTACTACTACTACTACTACTACTACTACTACTACGACTACTACTACTACTACTACTACTACTACTATAACGACGACGACTACTACTACTCCTACTACTACTATTTACTACTACTACTACTACTACTACTACTAACTACTACTACTACTACTACTACTACTACTACTACTACACTACTACTACTACTACTACTACGACTACTAATACTACTACTACTACTACTACTACTACTACTACTTCTACTACTACTACGACTACTACTACTACTACTACTACTACTACTACTACTACTCCTGCTACTACTACTACTACTACTAACCACTACTACTACTACTACTACTACTACTACTACTACTACTAAACTACTACTACTAACTACTACGACTACTACTACTGACTCTTCTACTACTACTACTACTACTACTACTACTACTACGACTACTACGACTACGACTACTACTACTACTACTACTACTACTACTACTACTACGACGACTAGTACCATGACAATTACTGTAATTACCATCACAACAACGACGACGACGACGACGACGACGACTACTACTATTACGACGACGACGACGACGACGACCACCACCACCACCACCACCACCAATACTACGCCTACGACCAGATACTATGACCACTACCTCCTCCTCGTCCGCCTCCTCCTTCTCCTCCTCCGAATCATCTCCCGTCCAGTTGTCGTTCGCGTAATCGTAATGCTCCTCATCGCAATCATCACCACCATCAGCATCGTCATGTTCCACTTCATCTTGGTCCAGCTCCTAATCATCACCGTCCTTTCCCTCATCATCCTCGTGTCCCATGTCTCCCCATCCTTATCCTCCCACTTCTCCTTTCGTCCTACTCTTCATTTCGGCTGGTACCAGTCTGCTTCTCCTCCTATTCCTGCCCCCTCTTGCTTCTCCTTCCACATTCCTCCTCTTTATCCTCCTCCGCGTCCTGATCTTTTCTCTCGTCATCCTAATCCTCCTTCTTCCTCCTTCTCCTACGCCTCTTCACCATTAGCCCCTCTCGAGATCGAGGAGGACAAGAGGAAAAGGACGAGGATAAAGAAAAAAAAGTTTCAATGAGGAGGAGAAGGAGGAATGAGGAGGAGGAGGAGGAGGAGGAGGAGGATGCGTTCTTCGTCATCCCTGTCCAGCCCCTCGGGAGAGCCTGACCATGACGGTCGTGCGCTTGTCCGCGCCGCACAGGATTGCCTCCGGATTGATGTCAAACTTCTCGAAATCCTGTGCCCATCCACCCCAGCTTGTGGGAAGGAGGACGAGAACGACGGCGAGGGCGATGGCGCCCTGATTAACGTCGAACTTCCACTTTTCCCTCCACCATCGCTTGTGAGCAGGAGGACGGCGGGAGACGAGGACGAAGGGGAGGAGATGGAAGGAGGAGGACGAGGAGGACGAGGAGGACGACGATCAACAACGTCCTGACAGGTCGTGCTGCTTCCCTGCCTCTCGCCCTGTCTGATAAAGATCTGCACATCCTCCGCCGCCGCAGACGGGCTCGCTGGACCCAGAACTCCGACCCCGTGCTTCTTTCGCAGGGCGCCTATGCCGACGCCCGCCGCCGGCCCAGCACTCCCGCAGCAGGGAGAGCGCCTGGTGTTCGAAGCGCCTCGGGCGGCTGCCCTGCGGGGGGCTGCATGACGCCTCCTCGAGCCTCTGAGACCGCGGAGGGGTGAGGAGTGATGGTTAAGAGGATAGGAGGAGGAGGAGGAGGAGGAGGAGGAGGAGGAGGAGGAGGAGGAGGAGGAGAAGGAGAAGGAGAAGGAGGAGGAGAGGAGGAGGGGGAGGAGGACGAGGAGGAGGGGGAGGAGGAGGAGGAGGAGGAGAGGGAGGAGGAGGAGGAGGAGGAGGAGGATCAGGAGGAGGAGGGGTAGGAGAAAGAGGTGGAGGAGGAGGACTCAGTCAGCTGCCCTGCGAGGGCGTCCTGTGTCCTCCTCGAGCCTCTGAGGCCGCGCTGGCTGCCAGGGGGACGGAGGCCGGGCGCGGCTGTGGCTGGCCAGACCAGACAAGGCCAGGAGAGAGGAGGAGGAGGAGGAGGAGGAGGAGGAGGAGGAGGAGGAGGAGGAAGAGAAGAGAAGGAGGAGGAGGAGGAGGAGGAAGAGGTGGAGGAGGAGGGGAAGAAGGGGAAAGAGGAGGTGGAGGAGGAGGTGGAGGAGGAGAGGAGGCGGCTCTCCAGGACCGGCTGCTCATCCCGAGCCGTCTTTTGACCGCCCCGGGGCCCAGCGAGTGCCCCCAGAGGCCGAACCGCTGCGAAGACAAACTCTCTCGCCGTGACGTTCTCACGACGCGAGGAGGTGGGGAGGCAGGTGCCGCCGAGGGCGAGCTCCGCCGCAGCGGAGCGACTGGGCACCGCAAGCGCACAGCGCCCGCCCCCTGATCCTCGATCGTCGAGACCCGCCCCTCGGATGCCTCTCGATGCCTCTCGACGCCTCGCCCCTCGACGCCTCGGGCCCTCGCTGCCTCGACGCCTCGAGGCCTCGCCGCGCGAGCCCTCGAAGCCCTGGCCGAAGCCGACGCCGCCGCACCTCGCGGCCGGCGGGAGCCGCCCCGCGAGGCCTCCCCGGCGGGCCTCGCCGGGCAGAGCGGGGATCTCCGAGCCAAAGGGGGGCGGGCGCGGGGAGCTCCTCCACGGGGCGAGCCTCAGAACTGCCCGGGTGCACGCCAGAGCGCCCCCCCGCCTCGCTCGTCGTCGTCGTCGCCGTCGTCGTTCTTCGTCGTCGTCATCGTCGTCGTCGTCACCGCCGCCGCCGTCGACGTCGCCGTCGCCGCCGTCGACGCCGCCCTCGTCGTCGTGTTCGTTCGCCGGCGTGGGTCGTCGCTGTTCGTGGTCGTCGCTGTCGTCGTCGCTCGTCGTCGTCTTCCGTCGTTCGTCGTCGCCGTCGTCGCCGTCGTCGTCGGTCGTCGTCATCGACCGTCGTCGACTTCATCGTCGTCGTTCGTCGTCGTTTGTCGTCGTTCGTCATCGTCGTCGTCGTTCGTCGTCGTTCGTCGTCGACTCCGTCGTCCGTCGTCGTCGTCGCCGTTGTCGTCGCAGTATATGCCGTCGTCGTCGTTCGTCGTCGTCATTCATCGTCGTTGGTCGTCGTCATGTTCGTCGTTGTCGCCGATCGTCGTCATCGTCGTCGTTCGTCGTTCGTCGTCGTCGTGCATCGTCGTCGTCGTCGTTCGTCGTCATCGTTGTCGTCGTCGTCATCGTCGTTCGTCGATGCCGTCGACGTAGACGTGGACGTCGTCATCGTCGTCGTCGCTGTCCCCGTTCGTCGTAGATCGCCGTCGTTCGTCGTCGGTGGTCGTCGTCGTCGCCACCGTCGTCGTCATTCGTGGTAGTTCGGCGCCGTCGGCGTGGTCGTCGTCGTCGACCGTCGTCGTCGCTATCGTCGTCGTCGTCCGCCATCGACGTCGTCGCCGTTTGCTGTCGTCGCCGTTCACCGTCACCCCTTCGTCGTTGTCGTCGATGATGCCCTTGTTGCCGCCACCGTATGCATCGTCGTCGTCGTGGTAGTCGCTGCCGCCTCCGTCGTCCCCGTCGTCGTCATCGTTCGTCGTCGTTCAACATCGACGTCGGTCGTCGCTCGTCGACGTCGTCGTTCGTCGTCCTTCGTCGTCGTCGTCGATGTTCGTCGTCGTCGTCGTGGGTCGCCGTCGTTCGTCGTCGTCGCCGTGTTCGTCGTCGTCGTTCGTCATCGTCGTGGTTCGTCGTCGTCGTTCGTCATTGTCGCTCGTCGTTCGTCGTCGTCATCGTCGCTCGTCGTTCGTCGTCGTCGCTCGTCGGCGAGCGGGGCTCCCAGCCAGGGGAGGCGGACGCAGGGAGCTCCTCCACTGGACGGGCCTCCGCACTGCCCGGACGAGCGCCCAACTTCTCGTCGTCGTCGTCGGCGTCGTCGTCGCCGCCCCCACCGCCGCGGCCGCCCGCCCCGCTGCCGCCGCGGCCGCCATCGGCGTTCGTCGTCGTTCGTCGTTCGTCGTCGTTGTTCGTCGTCGTCGTTGTTCGTCGTTGTTCGTCGTCCGTCATCGTCGTTCGTCGTCGTTCGTCGTCGTCGGCGTCATCGCCGTCGTAGCCGCTCGTCGTCGTCGTCGATAGCCGTCGTCGCTGTCGTCATCCGTCGTCGTCGTCGCTGTCGTCATTCGTCGTCGTGCGTCGTCGTTCATCGTGGTCGTCGTCATCGCCTTCGTCGTCCGTCGTCGTCGTCGTCGTCGTCATGGTCGTCGTCGCCGTCCGTCGTTGGCCGTCGTCATCGTCGTCGATGTCGTCGTCGTTCGCCGTCGTCGTCGTCGTCGTCTTGTCATCTCGTCGACTTTTTCGTCGTCGTATTTGTCGTCGAGGCCGCCGCGGCAGCCGCCGCGACGGCCGCCGCCGCCACCGCAACCGCTGACGCCGCCGCCGCCGCCGTCGCCATTGTCGTCGTCATTCGTCGTCGTTCGTCGTCGTCATCGTCGTTCGTCGTCGTTGTCGTCGTCGTCTTCGTAATCGTCGGCCGTGGTCGTCGGTCGTCGTCGTCGTCGATCGTCGTCTCCACCGCCACCCCCGCCGCCGCCATCATCGTCGTCCGCGCAGCCGCCGCCGCCGCCGTCGTCGTCGTCGTTGTCGTCGTCGCCGTGGTCGACGTCGTCGTCGTTGTCGTTCGTCGTCTTTCGTCGTCGTCTTCGTCCTCTTCCGTCGTTGTCGACGTCGTCGTGGTCGTTGTCGTCGTCGTCGTCGTTGGTCGCCACCGTCGTGCGACGTCGTCATTCGTCATTGCTCGCCGTCGTTCGCCGTCGTTCGCCGTCGCCATTCGACGCCGATCGTCGTCGTCGGCGTTCGTCTCCCGTCGTCGTCGTCGTTCGTCGTCGCTTGTCGTCGTCGCCGTTCGTCATCGTCATGGTCGTCGTCGTCGGCATTCGTCGTCTTCATCGTTCGTCGTCGTCGTTCGTCGTCGTCGCCATCGTTCGTCGAGGGCGTCGTCGTCGTTCGTCGTCGTTCATCACCGTCGTCGCTCGCAATCGTTCGTCGACGATCATCGACGTCGTCGCCGTCGCCGACGCCCCGCCCACGGCCACGGCTGCCGCCGCCACTGCGGCCAAGGCCGCCGCCACTGTCGTCGCCGCCGCCGCCGTCATCGTCGTCGTTCGTCGTCGTTCGACGTCGTCGTCGTCGTAGTCGTTCAACTTCGTTGTCGTCGTCGGTCGTCGTCGTTCGTCATTGTCGTCGTCGTCGTCGATCGAGGTTGTTCGTCGTCGTCCGTCGTCGTCGCCTCGATCGTCGTTGCAGTCGTCGTCCACCGCCCTCGTCGTCGCCGTCGTTCGTCGCTCGTCGCTCGTCGTCGTCCATCGTGGTCGTGATCGTGGTCCTCGCCGTTCGTCGTCGTCGTCGTTCGTCGTCGTTCGACGTCGCTGGTCGTCGTCACTGTTCGTCATCGTCGTTCATTCGTCGCTAACGTCGTCGTTCGTCTTCGTCGTCGTCCCCGTCGTGGACGTCAGTCGTCGTTGATCGTCGGTTGTCATCGCTCGTCTTTCTTCGTTATCGTCGGCGTCGACGTTCGTCTTCGTCTTCGTCGTCGTTCGTCGTCGCTCGGCGTCGTCGTCGTCGACGACCGTCGTAGTCAGCATCGCCTTCGTTCGCAGTCGTGGTCGGTCGTCGATCCTCGTCGTCGTCGTCCGCCGTCACCCGTCGTCGTTCGTCGCCGTCGTCGCCGCAGCATCCGTAGTCGAGGTAGTTGTTGCCGTTGCCGACGTCGTCTTGGCAGTCGCCCTCGTCATCGGTCGCCGTGGTTCGGCACCGTCGTCGTCGTTCGTCGTCGTCCGTCGTCGGCACCGTTCGTCGTCATCATCCTTTGTCGTCGTCGTTGTAGTTTGTCATCGTCGTCCATCGTCGTCGTCTTCATGTTCGTCATCGTTGTCCTCGTTCGTCGGCGTCGTTATTGGTCATCGTTCGTCGCCGTTGGTCATCATCCGTGCTCGTCGTCGTTCGTCCGTGGCCGTCGTCATCGCCAATTGTCGTCGTAAGGCGTCGTCGTCGTCGTCGGCTGGCGTCGTCGTCGTTCGTCGTCGTCGTTCTTCGCTGTATTCGTCGTTCGTCGTAGTGCGTCGTCGTCGTTGGTCGTCGTCGTCGCTGTTCGTCGTCGTCGCCGTTGATTGTCGAGGTTGGCCGTCGTCGTCGGCATTGTTGTTTTCGTCGTCGTTTGTCGACGTCGCTACCGTTCGTCGCCGTCCGTCGTGGTCGTCGTCGCTCGTCGCTCGTTCGTCGTCGTCGTTCGCCGTCGTTCGTCGTCGGTCGTCGCTCGTCGTCGTCGGTCATCGTCGTTCGTCGTGGTCGTTCGTCGCCGTCGTCGTCGTCGTCGTTCGTCTCCCGTCGTCGTCATAGTCGTTCGTCGTTCGTCGTTCGTCGTCGTCCGTTCGACGTCGCTCGTCGTCGGAATCGTCGATTGCCGTCGCTGGTCCTCATTAGCCGTGGTTATCGGTCGTCGTCGTCCGTGTCCGTCGTCCACGTCGTCGGTCGTCGTTGTCGTCCATCGTCGCTGTTCGTTATCGTCGTCGTCCCCGTCATCGTCGTCATCTTCGTCGGTCGTCGTCGTCGCCATCGTCGTTCGTCCTCGTTGACGTTCGTCGTCGACTTTCGTCGTCGTCGTGTTCGTCGTCGTTCGTCGTCGTCATCGTTCGTCTTCACTGTCGTAGTTCATCGTCGTCGTCGTTCGTCGTCCTTTGTGGTCGACAGCGACGTTGTCGTCGCCGTCGTAGTTCATTGTCGCCGGCGTCGTTGTTTATCGTCGTCGTCGCTGTTTGTCGGCGTTGTCGTCATTCTTCCTCGGTCGTCGTAGCTGCCGTCGGCGACGTTCGTAGTCGTTCGTCGACGTCGTCGTTCGCCGTCGTCGTCGTCGGCGGCGTCGTCGTTATCGTGTTTGGTTGTCGTCGTCGTTCCTCGCCGTTTTTCCGTAGTTCGCCGTCGTCGTCGACATCGTCGGCATCTTTGCTCGTCGTCGTTCGTCGTCGTCGTGATCCGTCGTCGTCGTCGTCGTTCGTCGTCGTCGTTCGTCGCATTCGTCGTCGCCGTTGTCCGTATTCATCATTCGTCGTCGCCGTCGCCGCCGTAGTTGTCGTCGTCGTCGGTCGCCTTTGATCGTCGTCGTCGCTAGTCGTCGCCGTCGTTCGGCGTCGTCATCGCTCGTCGTCGTCCGTCATCGTCTGTCGCCGTTCGTCTTTTGGCGCCTTCGTTGTCGTCGGCACCACTCGGTCGTCGTTGTCGCGGTCGTCGTTCATCGTCGTCCGTCGTCGTTGACCGTTCGTCGTGTTGTTGTCGTCGTTCGTCGTCATCGGTATCGTTGTCGTCGTGGTCGTCATCGTTCGTTCGTCATCATGGTCGTTTGTCGTTTGTCGTTCGTCGTCGTCATCGGTCGTCGTCGTCGTCCGCGCGTCGTCACTGCAGTCGTCGCTCGTCGTCGTCGTCCTTCGTCGTTCGTCGTCATTCGTCGTCGATGCGTCGTGCCTCGTCGTCGTCGTTCGTCGTCGTAGTTCGTCGTCGTCGTTCGTCGTCATCGTTCATCGTCGTCGTTCGCCGTGATCGCCATCCATCATCATTCGTCGTCGTTGGTCGTCAGCATCGCCGTTCTTGCGTCGTCGGCATCGATGCTATCATTCGTCGTCGTCGTCGGCTTCGTCCCCACTGCATCCGTAGTCGTCGTCTTCACCACTCGTCGTCGTCGTCGTCGTTCGCGTCGTCGTCGTCGTGTCCGTCGTCGTCGATCGTCGTTCGTTGCCTCGGTCGTCCTCGTCGCTCGTCGTCGTCGTCGTCGTTCGTCGTCGTCGTTCGTCGTCGTCGTCGCTGCCGCCACCGTCGTCGTCGTCGCTCGTCGTTGCTCGTCGCGGTTCGTCGTGTTCGTCATCGTCGTTTGGCGTCGTTGTTCGTCATCGTCGTCGTTCGCCGAATTCGTCGGCCGTCGTAGTTCGTCGTCGCTCGACGTCGTCGTGATCCATCGTCATCATCGGTTCTCGTCGTCGTCGTTGTTCGTCGTCGTCGATCGTCGTCATCGTCGTCGTTGGCCTTTGACCGTCAGTCGCCATCATTTGTCGTCATTTATCGTCGTCGTCGTTCGTCGTCGTCATTTGTCGTCGTCGTCGCCGCCGCTGGCGCCACCGTCGTCGCCGCCGTCGTCGTCGGTGGCTGCCGTTTTACTCTCCGCCTGGACCTCGTGGCCCTGCGCGCGCGGCCAACCTCCAAGCCTGCAACCCGATAATCCTCCTCCTCCTCCTCCTCATCATTCTCCTCATTGTCCTCCTCCTTTTCCTCCTCCACCTCCTCCTCCATCTCCTCCTCCTCCTCCTCCTCCTCCTCCTCCTCCTCGTCCCTCCTCCATCTCCTCCTCCTCCTCCTCCTCCTCCTCCTCCTCTTCCTCCTCCTCCTGTTCCTCCTCCTCCCTCCTCCTCCTCCTCCTCCTCCTCCTCCTCCTCCTCCCCCTGTTCCTCCCTCCTCCTCCTCCTCCTCCTCCTCCTCCTCCTCCTCCTCCTCCTCCTCCTCCTCCTCCTCCTCCCCCTGTTCCTCCCTCCCCTCCCCCCCCTCTCCCCATCTCCCCTCCCCGTTCCTTGTTGGTGATCTTGGTCCTTGCCACGCGGTGCTTCCCCGCCTCGCTTGCGTCCGCCTGGGGAAGCGCCCCCCCTCCCCCATGGCGGCCAGCACCGCTGCGGGGGTCGTCCGTCAAGGAGAGAAGGGGGGAGGGAGGGAGATAGGAAGAGAAAGTGAGGAAGGGAGGGAGAGGGACATGGGGGGACAGAGAAATGGAGGGAGGAAGCCAGAAAGGGGGGAGGAGGAGGAGGAGGAGGAAGAGGGCAGCGTTCGTCGCGGCCACTGACATCCTGGGTTCTCTCCACTGTTCGGTGCAGGCGTGGTGTGGCGCTGCGTGCTTTGCAACACCACCACGTGGAAGTGGTCGCACCCACACAGCCGAGATCACGGGGCAACCCCGTGACGCCAAGGAGCCCGCACAATGGGTGCCTATTCGGCAGGCACGTGCGTGCTCCATGGCAACCCCGTGGCGTTCAGGAGTCCGCTCACGGGATCATCTGTTATAGTGGATAGCGGTGGCGCGTGCTCGCGCTTCCCCGCCCTGGCACCCGCAGTGGTGCCAAACTGGCACAACGAACGCCGATCTTCCCACTCCAAAGCCCTTTTCCTTCCCCGCCCACCCCCCTCTCTGCAGGAACGAGTGAGGAGAAGGAGGCTCACACGCCGCCTCGCCGAGAGAAGCAGCGGACCAAGACCCTGCATGATGGATAAGCTGGCGGCCGCAATTGGCCAGAAAACCTCGCGGGAACGGAACGGGAACTGAAGATGCCAGCACACGTTCGCAAGATGTCGCCGTCTGCAGAACGGTGACACTGTCCAGCTCCTCACCCCATCTCCCAGGAGCAGAAGAACCCTCCAACCCCTCCCTCCCGCCCCTCCGTAACCTTTTGGCTCGATGCGACCCCCCGCTGTCCAGAACTGGATGTTTGCCATCTCACTCAAGCGCATTCCTGCGCAGCTCTCAGCGCGCGCTTACGCTGCTGAGTCGACACTGATACTCTGGGGCCCTCGCGCGGGCATCGCTGATCTACTCAGGTGCTGGCACGGAGGGCAGCGCGTTCTGGCACTGTTCGGTGCAGCAACCCTGTGACGCCAAGGAGCCCTCGCGTGGGAGCCAAGGGCAGCTCGTTCTATCGCTGCTCTGCGTGGCAACCCTGTGACGCCCAGGAGCCCATTCTGGGGAACCGTAAGGTAATTCGGCGCGTGCTTGCGGTGACTTGGGGACGCTTCCGCGCTCTCTTTTCTCGGCAACCCTGCGTCGCCAGGGAGACCGCATGTTTTGCGCCGCAGCGCGGCAGAGGCGATCCGCACGCTCGCTCTCGCGAGCCGGGCCATGGCAGGCACTAAATGGCCGGCGGTGAGAGTGGGGAACCGAAGCGGGGCGCGGCAGCAGAAGGCGGAAGAGGAGGGAGGGCACTCACAGCACGAAGAACTTCGACTGGAGCGGCTGGGGTGGCCACCCTGCGCTGGCGCGGCCCGGCAGTTGACACCGCGGCGTCGCGGCCGCGCCCGAGGGTTGAGGCGCAGGCTGCATCATGGAAAACGAAGACAAAGTCGCACCAATACTGGAGGAGGAGGAGGAGGAGGAGGAGGAGGAGGAGGATGAGGATGATATGAGGAGGAGGAGTAGGAGGAGGATGAGGAGGAGGAGGAGGAGAGGGGAGGAAGAGGGGAGGTGGTGGAGGAGGAGGAGGAGGAGGAGGAGAGGAGGAGGAGGAGGAGGAGGAGATGGAGGAGGAGGAGGAGGAGGAAGAGGACGAGGAGGAGGGGGAGGAAGATGGGGAGGGTGGGAGAGAGGAGGAGGAGGAGGAGGAGGAGGAAGAGGAGGAGGGGAGATGGAGGAGGAGGAGGAGGAGGAGGAGGAGGAGGAGGAGCAGCAAGCGAGCCCGCGCAGGCAGGCGGCCTCCAGGCGTTCGTCAGAGGGCCTGGGGCGACCGGCTCTGCTGCAGGGGCGGGTCGGCGGACGCGGGAGGGCCCAGGTCCAGAGGGGGCAGGGCCGCGATCAGCTCGCGGCAGCCACACGCTGCGAGAGCCCTGCTGAGCTGCTGGGAATCGGGGGGGGCGAAACAGCATATGCGCGCGCCTCCTCCTCCCTCCTCCTCCTCCTCCTCCTCCTCCTCCTCCTCCTCCTCCTCCTCCTCCTCCTCCTCCTCGTTCTCCTCCTCATCCTCAGAGACTCCTGAACGACCGACGCCGAAGTGACGCAGCATGGCGCACCCGCTGTCGGGGCCACTGCGGCGCCCGGCGGGGCTGCCGGGGGGCAGGGCGGACGAGCCCGCGGGCGCGGCAGCCTGCCGCGCAAGAACACGCCCACGAGCGGCACAATGCCACAACCCGCGCTGGGAGGCCCCGGCGATGGCGGGAGGACCGAAAAAAGTCGGCGCACGCATCGCAGCCGGGCACGGCAAGACCGCCACGCTGGCGAGGCGGGGCGCCCCGCAGCAGGCGCGGCGGGGCGGGGCGGAGAGGTGCGCCCCCCCGGCCGGCGCAAGCAACCGCAGGGAGGCCGCCAGGAGGCCGCGACGCGGAGCCAGCGGCCGCGGGGTCCAGCAGGCGCGGCGAGCGGCGAGGCAGGGGCAGCGGCCTGAGCACGGCGCACGGCGGAGGGGGGCGGCACCTGGAGGAGCCGCGGAGCAGAGGGCCCACCCGCACCCAGGACCCTCCCAAACGCAGAGAGAGCTGCGCCACCCGGGACCAGGCGGTCACATGATTAACACCCGCTTCGTCATGGAGCACCGCATATGATCGATGCACATAGATTCTGCTCGGGGAAGCACCCGCCCGGGGGGCGGGCGCTTCGGCCGAGACCCGTCGCTGCGCACCCAGGCGCGGAGGCCCACCTGGGGGGCGCAAGCGCCCCAGCCGGAACGAGGGGGAGAATCCACCCGCGAGGGCGGACGCCCCCGAAGGGGAAGAGGGGGAGGGGAGGCTCACCGCCTGGGGGGGGGGCGCCCTCGGGAGAAGCGCCTGATCGGCGCACGTACACCCGGAAGAGACAAAGGGCCGACCTGGACGGGCAGGCACCGCGCAAGTTATCATGACTGCCAGGTGCGACCGAAGGCCCAGGACGCCGAGCTTCGCGGCCAGGGTCCGACATGGCGTCGCGGGCAAAAGGGGACAGACTTGGAGACTGGATCCCCCGCGCGCGGGACTGGTCCCCCGCTGGCTAGGAGGCGCCGCTGGCCCTCTTGCCTCCCTGGCTTTTCCCTCCACTGCGCCTGCCTTTCCTGCTGCCGCTGCCGCGCGTCGCCCCAGTGAAGGTCCCGATGTCAGAGTGGGAGGCGAATGGGTCGTCCAGGAACTGCCTGCATAACACATCGCAGCCGCTAGGGCCGCAGCACCCTTCTCCCCGCCCCTTCGAATCCCTCGCGCCACAAGCCCAGTTCCAGCCCTCCACAAAGAGCGCCCCGCAGATGCCCTTAAGCGATTGATGAGCTCTGAACAGGTTCTCACGAGGTCCCCCCTGTAGCCCCACTGCGGCGCCCAGAGGATGTCGCGACGAGGCGCCTAGCAGAGGCTGTCGCACGGATCGCGCCAGTCGCGGCGGCGGCGCGCATGGCCCTCCACCCAACAGCGGCCGCTCTCGGTCGGAGTGCGCCGACAGTAGGACGAGGTGTCCCAGGAGGTTCTGAATGGGGGACCTGCATCGCCCGCGCCCAAGCCGGCCTGCTCGGCAGCCCAGCAGCGAATCGAGCGCAACGCAGGGGCGTCGGGGGCGCGCACCCCGCGTCGCCACCCGGATTCGCAGCGCAGGGCCAGGCTGCGCGCCGCCGCCGCCGCCCGGGGCACGAGCCTCGTCGGCTCCGCTGGCGGGGCGGCCCCCGCGGGCGATCCAAGCCGAGCGCGCGGGCGCGCGTCGCCCGCCCCGTCGTGGACCTCGAGACACTCGGCCCCAATCCAGGCGCGCAAGTGCAAACCCGTCTTTACCTCCTCCACTGGCCCCGTCACTGAGCTGGGCGGTAGATCGGGCCAGAGTCGCCCGCCCGTCTCGTCAGCTGGGCTGCGCCAGAATGCGGCGCGCGCGCCGCCGCCGCCCCCAGCCAATATGCAGTTTCTGCGCGATGCCGGCGCGCTGCTGCGAGACGGTTGGCCGGATGGAAGGCGCGAAACCGACGCGGCGCTCGTCGCCCGTCTTCGCGCCCCCGAGATGGCCCGGGCTGCCTTCCAGGTTGTCGGGGCAGGGCGGGAACGGCAGCCCCTCCCCATGGCCGCCCCCCTCGTCGCCAGTCCAGTCTGGGCTGGCGCTGCGCCGATCTCTGGCCGCGCGCTCGGCAAGGGAGGGCGGGGCTTCGTCCTCGGCTGGTCCAGGAGCGCCCCCCCCCCCCTACCGGGTCAACAAGGCGGACAGCCCCGACGCGCTGCGTCGGTTCCGCTGGGGGGCCGTCGCGTGGGGCGCGTGACTATGGCCGTCGGCTGGCGCGCCCGTCGTTCGCTTCTGCGGCTGACCCGCGGCCGCCCCCCGCGGCGCCAATGTCGCTTCGCCAGGCGCGGCGGGTCGGCGGTAGTAGGCGAACACGGAGGCCCTGGCGCGACGCGCAGGACGCCGGAACATCCCCGTCGAGCGCCGCGCCCGGCCACTTGCGACCCCAGGAATGACTCCCACGACATGGCCATCAGCCGCACGCACACGGGAGACTTCCCGTTGTCGCTGATCTGCAAGATTGTTCAGAATTGGCAGGCGAGCGACGCGGACTCTGACCCCCTCGGATGCCACCCCCGGGAGAGACGCCAGTTCGGGCGACGCCTGCATCGCCCATTTGGCCCGTCGCAGGCCCCACGCCTCAACGATCGACCCCTCGAAAAGCCCCCACGCGTTTCGCGCGAGGACTGCGACGCGCAATTCTTGGATTCGGTCGACGATCTGCTCGGGGCAGAGCGATCGCGCTCTCCAGCTCGCCGCGCGCTCGATCGGCCGGCGATCCAGTCGACGCGAAGCCAGTGGGGATCTGGCCCCCTTCCGCCCAGCCAAGCTGGATTGAGCGGATATTCGACACCTCTCCTCGGTCGCCACTGCATCTCAAGAGAAATGCGAACGCTGGAGGGAGGGAGGGAGGGAGGGAGGGAGGGAGGGAGGGAGGA